GTGTGTATGTGTGTGGGTGGGGGGGAGATTTGTCCGGGGGGGGGGGGGGTGTATAAGACTGAAACCACTGGCGAGTGAAGCAGATAATACCGGAAATAGACGGGTAGTAGTCCAGGAGGAGGAGAATACTTTACTGACTAGTTTCTCCGGGGGAAGAGGGGTAGGTGAAGAAGGGTTAAAAAGGAGAGAGGGGTGTTTGTGTGGGGTGGTAAGGCAGGGGCTGCTGCGTAAAAACGTCCAAAGGCGCAAAATAACCGAAAAATAAAAAGGGCGGTCAACAGCTGGAGGGGGAGCGCGCATTGCGATTAGATTGCGGACTATGCATTTGGAAGTAAGCGAATTTCTAATTAACTAACGATTTAAACCAACTAACGATTTAAACCAACTAACCGGTGTTCAAACCGAACAGCAACCGAACAACATTTGCAATATATAAGGGGGCCCACGCAAACTGGAGTACGAGGCTGCTGCTGTTCGGTTTGAACACCGGTTAGTTGGTTGAAATCGTTATATATATTATATACACACACACAATATCAACAGACAATGGTTTTGATGCCTTGTTTGCGCCTACCCACCTAGGCTGCCCCAGATCGCTGCGTGGTGAAGCACCGTCCACTCCTCCTCCAACACCGCGAGCTGCAAATGAACTGTCAGAAGAACAGCCGTGAATAGCACCGCGCCAATCTGCGAGGAGGTGCGTGTGTGCGTGTGTATGTGTGTATGTGTGTATGTGTGTATGTGTGTATGTGTGTATGTGTGTATGTGTGTATGTGTGTATGTGTGTATGTGTGTATGTGTGTATGTGTGTATGTGTGTATGTGTGTATGTGTGTATGTGTGTATGTGTGTATGTGTGTATGTGTGTATGTGTGTATGTGTGTATGTGTGTATGTGTGTATGTGTGTATGTGTGTATGTGTGTATGTGACATGGATGTGAGTGTGTGTGTGAGTGTGTGTGTGTATGTGTTTGTGCACGTGGAGGAAAAAGGGAGGGGAAGCGGGGAAAAATTGCCACAAGCACAAACACACACATGCCGCAACCCTGACCACACACAGAGCGGGAAATTTCCCCCCACTTTGACGTACAATGCTTCCCGACCGTAAGAATCTAACCATCATCCCCATCCCTAGCTATCCGCACAAAATCCCCCTGGGAGACCCACCCCCACCCCCACCCCCACCCCCTGTCACGACATTTTAGCGTCACGTTCATTTTACCGTCTTTTATAATCGTCTTAGGTTATAATCGGTGTGAATACGCGAATTTCGTGTATTATCGCGTAAGGTGTTTGGTTCTTATCTTACACTTCGCTGATGGACTTATGGACGAGACGAGAATGTACGCTCGTTCGCGTATGTTTATGTACTTTACTTGTTAATTGTTCATTTCTTGTGTGAATGTTCTGTCACACGGGTTATAAGGTGTTTCACTTGTGTCATTTGTGGACTATACGTCATGGTCGTACTCGAGGCTTATCTTTTGAGGGCCTCCTGTGATCGACAGTGTGACTTCGGTATTTAT